ATGAGATGAATACATACAGATATTTAGTCGTTAGAGGTGACATTGAGATACAGATATTTAGTCTTTCTTTAGTGGGTGCTATATCTAAAGGGTTCAAGGTCTATACAGGAATAGTCATGTTACATGCATAACAGGATGTTGCTCTTCCTGAATTTTACACTCGGCACAGTGAACAGATGAGAGCGTGGATTATTGCTCTCTGTAAGGTGATATCGTTTAAGTGTGAACTTTAACGATCTCATGCTTTTCTGAGGTCGTAGAGCATCTCTAGATGCATACACAAACCAAAGGGACTTAGAGCAGTAATCTTTATTATACTAGGCGTGAGTTTCAAAGAAGAGACGTTTGTTGTATATAGAGTTGTTTGATGATAGAATATTTCTATATATCACTATTTCGGGGTGATGAGTTTCTCTCTTGACAGAGCTTAGTTCATAACGCAATGGGGGACGTGTCCATGATTATACTATTTAGTAGGTGTTGTAAGAGAGTGTCACCTTACTATAATATCTAGTCTCTTACGGCGTAGAGACAGAATTAGAACATATTTGAGTCGGAGGTTCTTAGTAGAAGATGTTTACTTACTTCGAGTGGCCGCAGATTATCTCTGCGAGAGCTGCGAGATGGAGAGGCAGTCTAGTGAGGAAGACCCGCGTGTGGAGGGGGGATTTAATGTAGTGAGTGTCTTATCTTGTGAATGTAACACTACTCTTCATCTAGATGTTGTTCTTACTGATATCTCTATGCATCTAACATGATAGATGTAGCCAGAGTTTTATATCACACATAGACATACAGGTGCACTGTGTGACAACCATATAGTTATGTTGGCGCTCATTCAGGAGCGCAATGTATATTTTCTGAGACATCATTATAATGTCTTGTTACGCGCGGATTCTCTCCTCTCTATCCCGATTACTTATTTCAAGGCCTCTCTATACAGTATGGAGTATAGGCTTTCTCTATTGAGCTTGCGCTCTTCTACCTCTCTGACTCTGAGGCTTTTTGAACACGTTATGCACTCATGCATTTTATTATATAGGACGTCACTTCTCTAGAGTCGCATAACACACGCACCACATTATAATTTATTTAAAACACTTTTTTAATCTCACATACTACTCTCACTAAGGTTCATAGTCAAAATGCCACTCTAGAATCTAGAGCGCTGGTCACAGATCTATTATTCAGAGGAGATTGTAAAGTCGGGTAATAAACCTCTGTGCATATCATCACGACAGTATTCGAGGATAGGCAGGTGGCGTCGAGAACTAGTCAGGTGTTTTAGTGAGTTAATGTCGTCACACTGTACGCAGATAAGCTGGGCAAGCTTTCGTGAGAGTTAGAGTTATGAGATAAGGGTCAAGAGTATGCAGGCCGTATATCTGAGTCTGTCATAGGATATATCAGTCATTGAGCGGAAGTAGAATGACAGTTTACGGTGATGTGGTAGTTACGACAGCTGGACGACGAATAATCGAGTGCATAGAACGAGTGTCGTGAGTGCGCTGTTTACAATATGGAGATTATGTTATCGGTTGTATCTCTGGAAGACGTGCGTTGGGGTTTGCCTTCACACAGTCGTACACAAGCGTAGTATTTGCAGTGGGTGTAGATACGAGGCAGGAGAGTTAGATGAGGAGGCGCGCAGATATGTGTAGAGTACCGAAATCGTAGTGTCGACGCACATGTTATAGAAACAGAGATATCTATTGCGATAGATGGTGCATAATGTGTGTTGGTCGAGGACAACATATCATGGGATGTGGATCTTTGGTGCTTCTGTCTAATCTCTATTGAGATCAGAGAGATTGGCATACATTACTATCTTTTCGCCAGCTACGATGGTATAATACTTCCTCTTCAATAACAGAGTTTAGGGTTATAATGCGATCTATCTTAACATCTATGTATCTCAGAGGAGTTGGACGAGAAGTATTCATGAGAGACATAGAGGCTGATCAGTGGGGAGATCACACAGGTATGATAGGGGTTTGACTCTACTCTTGCTATGGTTTTTGTTGTTATAGGTCCCTCTATATTCGTATTGTGAATAAGGATATATATACACAGTGTGGGAGGGTTAAATCACGTTTAAGTCGGTCTGCTTCTTTGTTAGAGTTAAACTAGGAGTTCAGTGTGAAGACAGACGATGTATTAAATGTCGCTACTTTTACATAGAGTGGTGAGATAGAGGAGAGGGGACCGTCGAGTTTATGGATCCAGGCGTGTATATATATCATACACATAGATAAGAACATACAATATCGTTGTCACCTCTATTTTCAAGAGATTTGGTAGCTATTTCTTCTTATCTAGGACTTTCGGGTATGGTCTGGGGTATAGATACATAGATGATAGGTGTTCAGACTGTCGCATATCTTATTATTTTATGGGATACACAGACAGGTGAATACTATAGATGTGGTGCGAGAAGGTCCCTTAATCTATGACATTTCTAATTATATTGATGTTGCTGCCGAGAGGCAGTGACTGGGCCTGGTAGAAGGGTCCTGGGATTTCAGGGAGTGGTGTGCATGTTCGTCACTGATTCTGTTGGTTAATATATGAAGGCAGATTATTGAGATGACTTTCTGTGTATAGGGTGGAATATATTAGTGGTGTAGAGCGAGAAGAGAGAGGTACACACTCACTAGAGCACCTGGATCAATGAAGTCGAGGCTTAACTGTGTGAGTTGCTGTGAAGGGGAAGGTGAAGTATTGTATTGTATTAGTGCGTACATACTAGCTTGGCTATTTTGATGTCATTACGATAACATCTGTGTGTGAGCTTGTGGCTAAGGCAGAGGTATTTATGTGATGAAATTGTTGTTTAGCGTGAGGATGGGAGATTCACATTTGACTATACAATAGGGAGGGAAGAGACACGACGTGCGGCTGGCGAAGGTCATCAACACTCAGAAGAGGAACCATTCTGGTCCCACCGCAGCTAAAAGACAAGCTTCTGTAGTCTCTCACCTCACGACCAGAAGAACACTCATAACGTGGCTGTGTTGACTGGAGAGAGAGTGGTGGGGGAGAGAGAGAGGGGAGGATGAGGGAGTAGGAGGGATCTTAGGACTGTAGAGATTAGATCACGCAGATGCTGAGTGTTAGGTTATCATGCAGTATCTCTCAACATTGGTCTTGAGATCTATCTTTGTTGGAGTGAATGCGGTTGAGGCTATCGATTATGGGATAGTTATTGTAAAGATGTTGATTAGGCTAGGGTAGGGTATTATATATGTATCGCGTAAGATCTAGCCTTGGACATTTATTAGCAAGCGTGTCTTATGGATGCGGACGGTGACGTGTGGTCATGGAGTAAGCTGTGAAGGTATAGGTAGATGAGAGTATATGGTCCATATGGTATAAGTGGTCAAGCGTGTCACTCATTAATTGCTGGAGTTAGTGCGAGAGTATCTTTACGTAGAGTGACTAGAACATGTGTCAATATTTACTGATTAGATGATAGGTAGCGTGGTTGGAGTGCGTAATTGGTAGATTATAGCAGTGAGATAGTATGATAGATGGTGCGCAGACGATGAGGCCGTACACACAGCGACGGTGGAAACGCGAAAGCACTTCTATATTGTGATAGTGGTATGTATACGGTAGAGAACTAGAGGCAGAGGAAGCGCTGAAGTGCGTTTATATGTAGGGTAGGAGCAAATGCTATAGTAGATTCTGTGTAGCGACTTGTTAGTCAGAGCTGAGATATAGAGTAATGATCACAGTGTGGTGAGCGAATCTACGCATGTTGTGGTGGTATTGTGGAGGGTGGAGCATATTTCATGCGGTGACAGCTCTGGTACTCAGTGCGTCTGGATCACAACTCGTCTGACCATGATGTCTTTTCTACTGCAACTACTCACTTGCGTCTTCTTCATTTCACATATTCTGTTTAATGGAGAAGAAGAGACTACGACTAGACTATCATAAAGTGGCTATTAATGTCTAGTCATACATACACTTTTTTTTTAGAGCTTTCTGTTAGTGTGGAGCTTTATGAACTCACACCGAGAAGGAATCTAAGGTGAGACATGAGGACGATCATGTTCTCTCAGTTGTATCTAGTTTACAGTGGGCCGAACGATTAACGTGTTCAGTGTCAAGTCTAGTGCTGTCTATCTATAATTTGAAAGCGAGCGATAGTAGAACTACAGATTATGGTGTATTAGTATCAGGCGGTGGGAGTCTGGGGGTATCTCCTGAGTTTGATTTGAGTCTCTATAATTGGTGTTGCGGCTAGCTCGCTCTATATCTCTGTTATGAAGTGGGTCAGGTCTGATAGAGAGGTCAAGGTGGTCATGGGAGGATTGTGTGAGTGAATATAAGAGAGATATGTCTAGTGTGGATCTATTTTTATCGTTCTATTTATATATGTTGGCAACCGGAGTCTATATTAGACTATCTACGTCTTGAAGGGCGGGATGTTTCTAGAGTGACTGGAACATAACTTTATACGTGTGTACGATTATAATCGTGTTATAAGAGGAAGGAACATATTATAGAGATGATCTATGCTTCGAATCGATGGTGTGATGTGAGATAGTATTGATGAGCGGATACTACATTATCTTCACATGCCTAGAGCTCACAGTTGAGATGCCTTCAAGACGTGTGATCTGTTACATCGGTTAGGGATGTATTGGCCGTTGTAGTAGCAGTCTATGTTATCTCTATATATACTCACTAGAATGCGTTTGCACGGCTGTGAGTGATTCATCAGTATCTAGTATATCACACGACGGTGGATACCTAGCAGATGATTCTGCTATATTCTCTCGGGCTCTCGCGGCCACGCGATCGAGATATCTGAACTCTATACGTATGGTGATACTATATAGATGATGGTAACATGCTGTGTATGGCTCACTTATTTAAGTAGGATCATTCGCTATGGGGCATATGCTAGTAGGTGGGTTCATATGGGGTTTTAATGATATCGATGATATTTAGGTGAGATATCAGTATCCCGTAGCGGAGATTCAAGCGACATGTGCTGGAACACTGCGGAGGGAGATTCGCTATTCGGGTGTCTCTGTCCATTCCTCTGTCCACTCCTCTGTCCACTCCCTCTGTCCACTCCTCTGTCCGCTCCTCTGGATAGTGTGTATTACTTCCACTCCTCTGTCCACTCCCTCTGTCCACTCCTCTGTCCACTCCCTCTGTCCCCTCCCTCTGTCCACTCCCTCTGTCCACTCCTCTGTCCACTCCCTCTGTCCACTCCTCTGTCCACTCCTCTGTCCACTCCTCTGTCCCCTCCCTCTGTCCACTCCTCTGTCCACTCCTCTGTCCACTCCTCTGTCCACTCCTCTGTCCACTCCCTCTGTCCACTCCTCTGTCCCCTCCCTCTGTCCACTCCTCTGTCCATTCCCTCTGTCCACTCCTCTGTCCACTCCTCTGTCCCCTCCCTCTGTCCACTCCTCTGTCCACTCCTCTGTCCACTCCCTCTGTTCACTCCTCTGTCCACTCCTCTGTCCACTTCCTCTGTCCACTCCCTCTGTCCACTCCTCTGTCCACTCCCTCTGTCCACTCCCTCTGTTCACTCCTCTGTCCACTCCTCTGTCCACTCCTCTGTCCACTCCTCTGTCCACTCCTCTGTCCCCTCCCTCTGTCCACTCCTCTGTCCACTCCCTCTGTCCAATCCTCTGTCCACTCCCTCTGTCCCCTCCCTCTGTCCACTCCTCTGTCCACTCCCTCTGTCCACTCCTCTGTCCACTCCTCTGTCCACTCCCTCTGTCCACTCCTCTGTCCACTCCTCTGTCCACTCCTCTGTCCACTCCCTCTATCCACTCCCTCTGTCCACTCCTCTATCCACTCCTCTGTCCACTCCTCTGTCCACTCCCTCTGTCCACTCCTCTGTCCACTCCCTCTGTCCACTCCTCTGTCCACTCCTCTGTCCACTCCCTCTGTCCCCTCCCTCTGTCCACTCCTCTGTCAACTCCCTCTGTCCACTCCTCTGTCCACGTCTTTCTACAGTTTATGTTCTCAACACTAATTAAATGAAAATAAAAAAATACACATGTCTTTTTTAACTTGATCATAGATATCCGGGCAACGTGAAGATGCTCCACAATCAAAGGTATTATAAGTATTTACAATATTTAAATCCATTATTGTGCATGAGTTTAGTTCATTGTATTGTGTTCCATCAGGTGTTCAATGACCCTATCCACGGTCATATGGAGTTCGATCTTACTCTGGTCAAGATCATAGACACTCCAGAGTTCCAAAGACTTCGATTCATCAAACAGCAGGGAGCAGCTTACTTTGTTTACCCCGGAGCATCTCACAACAGATTTGAACACGCTCTTGGGTATGTCGTAGCATAAATAATCTGGTCCTGATTATAAAATAATTGGTTGAATTTTTGTTTTTTATTTCTCAGTGTGGCGCACTTAGCCGGACAGTTCTTGAAAAGACTAAAAGAGGAACACGAGCCTATTAGTGACGAAGACATACTTTGTGTGCAAATTGCGGCTCTTTGTCTTGATATTGGTGAGGAGCCAAACCCACATTTCCAGTGACGATGGATAACCACAAATTTCTAATTTTTTGATGAATTACTTTTAGGACGGGCACCTTTTTCTGATGGTGTAATGTTGGACCAACAGGTATTTCTTACTTTTTAAGTAAAAGTGTTTCAAAACGTTCCCTGAAAACACGACAGCTAAAATGCTGTGATTGATCTTCACAACGTCATCAGCTTTGGTCAGAGGACAGATCCAGTGTTTTGTAACAAATATGGGAGACATGACTGTGGTCCAGACGGCTGTCAGGGTGGTTTTTCAGATATTATTAAAGCTCTTTGAGATTCATAGGATTCAGGCACATGACCCACCGGTGGGTCAAGACTCAGTATCACCTCGTGAGAAATGCTGCTTTGATTAAATCAGTGTGATGACTTTATCAGTTAAAATGTTCATCTCACCATAATTTTGATCTAATTTAGATTTTATTACCAGAATAAAGTTGGAAAAAATGCAAATTACAGGCCTCAGATGTTCTGAGCAAAAACACAAGAACATCTTTGGTTAGACCAGGGGTGTCCAAAGTGAGCCCGGCGCGGGCCAAAGATGGCCCACCGAACGTTTTCCACGTCTATAGAAGGTTTCTATCTGCGTCCCTCAGACTGGCTGGATACACAGACTGTTTTCAGATACACGGGCGCGTCTTCAACACTTGAATTGCTTCTTTCCGATACTTAACTGTTGTATCGAGATACACGCCTCACTCATGGTTCACATCAACTTGCACTAAAATGTTTTTTTTTTAAATCAAACACACTTATCAAAACAATTGGGAGCCAGGCACATGGATCTATTATATTAACTGGATAGGGTATTACTAGCTTGTAGCTGAATAACTCACGTGCTCAGGGGATTCTCGCGGTACTGCAGACTGAACCAGACTAAATTCACGTGGGCTACCCAGAAATTTTCCCCATAGAACTCAATGCATATTAAAACAGCTCAACCTCAGCTGACAGAGAACCTACAGCTTTAATAAAGATCGGATTTTGTGGGGATTTTAGTGTCCCTTGTCATCCTGAACTTTTTTTCTTCTTAAATCCTTCGGTTTTGTTTAAATCCACACTTTAGTGCCACAAACTCTGCTCCTCTGGCTCTCGCTCTAACTCCCGCTCTGATGAACTGCTCTGATTGGTCAGAGCGCGGCCGAGCCCCTCTGTGCACGTGCGTGAGACCCGGTGTGAGACCCACACACGCGTGTTTGGCGCAACGCATTATGGGAGATCATCCACTGCACAGAACCGGGAGGACCAGACGATGCCCAAATACAGGCGAGTTTCCCATAGATCTTTGCGAGTTTCAGGCAACTTCCGCTAATCTTTCAGCCCCCATGCCGTCACAAAGCGCCACTGAGCACAACAATTCATTTGAATAGGGCGCCATCTTGAATCGCCGGGGCTTGGCCAGGCACCTTTATGTGCATTTTTTTTTCAGCCTACTACTTATTATTTTGAGCAATTTTATGTTTTATCAATTTGAGAGGATCTCCCATGAGCCTTTTGGGCTTGTAGGAAAGTATAGGAAAGCCAAGCAGAGAAGTGCGCCCCTAGTGCTAGGTTTCTATTTTACATATTGAAGTACTTGAACACGTAGCTGTTGCCAGAGCAACACGCAGCCGCCTTCATTCATTCATTTTGTTGCCTGTGTCAGTGTGCGTTAATGACCAGAAAGACAGTGCCATGTGTGATTTGTTGATTTGTGCAGCTTTAGCCATATGTCTGTGTTTATACTTAACAGACTTTACTCGTGTTTTCTTGAGTCTCAGTTTATCATTTGTGACGTGATTTACCTACTTCAAGTAGTATTCTAATGTCAAATGTTTGGTTTTGCAGCTAATTTATAGTTCAAAGTTAATTCTATTGCTAGTTTATTATTGGTTACTTCTATTGTGCATCTGACAATCTGGCTGCATCTTGTGCCAAAATTAAAGGGCATGTCTGTAACTTTTTCGGAGCAACCAATTAAGTGCTGTAATTTTTTAATATTAGTAAGTAAGTAAGTAATCTTTATTTATATACCGCCTTTTCACTGCAGATCTGAGTCACAAAGCGGTTTACAATTGTTAATTTTTGGGCATTTGTCTCTCACTCCACACAGAGATGGGAGCGGGGTCGCCAGTACAGGAGGCGCATGCCAGAACTATTGGACATAGTTTTAGTGGTAGGGGAAACCGGAGTACCCGGAGGAAACCTACGCAGACACGGGGAGAACATGCAAACTCCACTCAGAAAGGCCCTGGTCCGACTGGGATTCGAACCCAGGACCTTCTTGCTGAGAGGCGAGAGTGCTATCCACTCAGCCACCGTGCCGCCCTGGCAAATTTTTACTTTGGCCCTTGGAGGCAAAAGGTTTGGGCACCCCTGGGTTAGACATTCAGTCACTTAACTCTCTGTTAGAGGTTAAAATGGGGTATTTTGAATGTAAATGGTTAGATCTGCAATTGTATCAATAATATTAAACACTTTGTAAAACTGAATGCAGCCCTTAAACTGGAAGGAAGGAATTATTTGTATTTTTTATTTGTTTATTATCAATCTACAGAATATAAACCCGTCTGCTGTCATTTTCCAAACACTTGAAAATAACCTGCACCTGAATCTGAATGAGGCAGACAAGACATTCATTGAAGAGATGATAACTGGAGAGGTAAATGAAGCTTCACTGGTTCAGTCATACTGCTCCTAATGCTGATGGTGTGTTATTTCCAGGGGCCACAGACCGGTCGCCCAGAGGAGAAACGCTTCCTCTATGACATCCTGGGAAACCGGACTAATGGAGTCGGTGTGGCAGTTGGTGTGAAGCTCTTTGACTATGTGGCCAGGTGAGACTTTTCATCTTCAATGTTTCCGTTTTTCCACTTAAACAAAACATTAGTTTTCATGTTTAACTGTTTATTCATTGCCTTTAGAGATTGCTATAACACGGGCCTTGAGGCTAATTTTGACCATCGCAGAGTCATCCAACTGGCCAAAGTTATCCAGGTCAATGAAGTGAATAAGATCTGCTTCAGTGTCAAGGTGATGAAACTGTGGTTCACTGTCGACGATTATTAGCGCATAATCTAAAGCAAATCTATGAATATGTTTTCAAAGAAGTGCTGTGTGCAGAGGGTTAAAGCTATAGACTGTAAATATTAACGGACATAGTCAGGCCTGAAATTAACAGCTTTTATATAAGGTTAAATTGCAACAATTGAATCTAGGAAATTAAACGAATATATTAAAATTATTGCAAGACAAAATGTTATAGTATTATAGTTGTTCTATTTTTAATTAGCTGACTATAGTATTGTAACCAAAAGAAAAATAGATAGATAAAATAAATAGATTACAAATAAAATAAGTTAACTTCATCTGATCATTCCTACAACAGGTGCTGGGGAACATGTTTGACTTGTGGCACACCATTGTGGCTCTTCACAGCAAAGTCTACCAACACAGAGTGACCAAGAACATCAAAACCATGCAAGTATTTCACTACCAAGGTGTTTGGGGTCACACTTGTTTATGAACGTGTTTTATGATAAGAAAAATATGCTTCATGTTTTAAATAAAGTCTCTCTTTAATAAAAGTGTATGTGTGCTGTCTAATGTTGTCCCTCCAGGATCCCAGTGGACGAAAGAGCTAAGACAGGTTTGACCCAGACTTTAACGCTGATAGTTCATATTTTAATATTTGACATTGTTGCCTCACTTATTTGTTCTATTGCAGACAACCTGCTGTTTGCAAGACATGAAAACATAATGCAGGAAATCCACTCGCACAATCTTCTCTATTTTGATCTTCCGGAAGTGCAGGGGGCGGTGCAGGGGGCGGTGCAGGTGGTGGTGAGTGCAGAATTTTGATGTACAGTGTAACAACAATATTCATACTCCTTTGCAGTTTGTCATGTAATGATCACACTTTTAAGCATTTATTGAAAAATCAAAGACAACAGTGAAATAAAATGTAAAAATTAAGATATGTGGTGTACAAAAATATTCAGCTCCCTTTTCTCTGAGTGAAAACTTAGAGAACTAAATTTAAGAAGAGACTCTAATATGTAAGGGATAATGTGTATTACGCAGGTCATTATCGGAAAATAAGTACCTACGCGCCGGGGTCTGCTTCCGCCCTGAAGGTACTTGTTTTCCGATAATGACCTGCGCACTATACATTATCCCGCTTATTATACGGCTTTGTACCAACAGAACACACAAAATAAACTTCTGTCCACTTTTAGGAATGCCGAAAGTTTAATTTAATGACAGAAAATAAAATAGTTCCCAAAGGCTTTCCCGTGGCGCATTTATCACGGGGGGTTGCGGGCTAAAAACTTTGGGAACCCCTGGACTATGGTATTGCTCACTCGTGTACAGCGCTTCAGTGCATTCACAAGATGCTGCAGACGCTTCATTGATGAATATATATAAATTCATTCATTCATTCTTTATTTATTCACTTCTACAATTCAAGAAAGACTTTTGTACTGTCCATCCATCCATCCATCCATTTTTTTCCCCTTAATCATTTCTGGGTCGGGGGGTGGCAGTTAGAGCTGCACCCAGTACACACAGCACCAGCCCTCACTGATCCTCCTGCAGGTGGTGAGTCCACAGGAGCCTTTCTTTCAGCGGGGGCTTTTTTCTAATGTATCAAAACATTTTTGAAAATTTGTTCAAAACACAGCTGAATATATAGCGTATATTTATTTTTACAAAACCATGAACAAACAAAGGCTTCCAAACTGCTGACATGTCGCAAAAACCGGGCATGAAACAGGCGATTGCTGCATAATTCTAGACGTGACTTTCATAAATACATTCATATTCAGCCGCAGCATTTACTAACACCCGCGTACGCTCAGAACTGGGTGGATCCCACACTGTCATAAATCCGACATTGGATCTTGCGTAAATGGAATATACACCCAAAATGTACACATATTTCTGCGCTAGTTTCATAAATGAGGCCCCATGTTTGTGAGGATTAGTGTAATGACTTAAAACCAAATGAAATTGTGGCTCCGAGAGTAAATTGCAGCACTTGTTTCACACAGAGCTGTTTCTGCGTTGCACTGAAACAAAAATGCTGATTATACAATTAAGGTTAACACTAGAAACAGAGACATGCATTCCATATGTACTGATGGAATGTAAACATTTGACATGGATTACTCAATTATAACAATTATTTTAAGGAGCAATTATTATGGTATATTTTTACATTGATCTGGCAGAAGCACGACATCAGCCTTTCCATATGTCACTTTATTAATCATGTCTATGTCTTTTATAAGGTACCCCCAATCCACATTCGTCAGATGCATTTCTATGACATGAATGATCACATTTTGACCGAGGATGACGTTAAGGAAGAGGTAAAGACAATTAAAATGTGTTTTTCATAATTTGGTTTCTACTAAAAATATTTTATTGTAGATTGAAGCACTAAATCAGAGAAACACAGTGACTCTTCAGTAAACTGCCCAGACAATAAGAAGGTAATGAGCTTTACTAACTTCTACTTCTGTATGTGCTTCACAATTGCAAAACATTGATATGAATGTTAAAACAATCCACCGCTCCAATCCTGACGTCCTGAGATCTACTGCTCTATAAACCACAGAGACCTTTGCTCTCCGTTCTGTTCACTCAGTGTTTGAGATCTCAAACTTCAGCACATTCTTGTTTCTCGTCTTTGATCTTATATGACCTGATTCAAGGTCAATAACGAGAAAATAACATTGTCTTTTGAGAGCTGTATAAAGAAAAAAATAAAATAAAGTTAGAATTTGCACTGGGACAGTTTTCAGCCGAGTGAGAAGCGACTAGAGCGGGATGAGAATCTGCTGCTTCAGAACCGAGGCCGTGGTGCTCAGTGGCAATCCAAGGGTATCCCGGGGCCCCAGGCAACACAGTCCTTGGGGGCCCCGACCACAAAACCACATGAAAAGGTTTATATTACAGTAGGTATAAATATATATTTAATAATAAGATACAATTCAATATCTATTACTTGTTTACATGAATATAAATTAAATGTAGATATTGTCTTATTTTTACCAATAAATGGATAGGCCTGGGGCCTGCCTGTCAGACTCTACAGTCTACCATAGAACATTGTCAATTTTTCAGTATTATTGTGACACAAAGCAATGAGAAATAATTTAGCATGTCTTTTTATTAACTTGTTCACTACACTACCTATCAATGTGTATTAATCCTACATAATCTAATCTTTTCTTTAGCTCTGAGGGCCAAACTAAAGATTAGAATCTGCAAAAAAACGGCTTGTTTAAACCTTTTACCGTTCTTGGGCAATCTGTCATAGAACATAATTTATATAATTTAATCCAATACACAGATATTACCCAGAATCAAACCTGGGTCATCATCGCACAAGTGCCGCACTCAGCTTAACCACTAGACCACCATGACAAATAATACATAGTTGTCCCCGGGCAGGGTTTTTACTGTTAATAAAGAATGTGGCAAGTTTTACATCAGACGAAAAGTTTTTATCTGCCAACTCGTCACTGCAGGTAGCTGTTGTAGCCTGTACAAGTCGACTGCTTGTTTCGGGGGCCCCCTGACGGTTTGGGGGCCCCAGCCAGCTGCCTGCCTTGCCTAATAGCAATGGTGCTCGGTGTTTTGCCCTCTCTCAAGTGATGGAGTTCAAATACCTCTGGGTCAAATATCTCTGGGTCACAAGTGAGGGAAGGACGGAGACACTTGGGTGGCGCAGCCGTTAGCTGGAAGAAGGTCTTTGGTTCGATTCCACTTCCAGACGAGGCCTTTCTGTGTAAAGTTTGCTGCCCTGGAATCTTAAAGATCAGGCACTGAACGAAAAGAGGAGCCGACAAAGGTCATTGCAGACCATCCAGGACTGGAGCAGTGCATTGTTTGATTTTATGGGTATAGCCGTAAGTGGAGCCTGTAGAAGGATATATTCACATATTCATAGATCTTTGGTTATGTTTGGTAACCGTCCTTAACAGTTTTAAATTTCATTTATTTTTTCTAGAATAGGATGGTGGTGAAATCTCACAAGAAAGGCCAAGAATGGACATCGATCAGTCCACAGAGTGATTTATTTTAGGTGGTGGACATTGGTATCTCCCTATTGACCAATTCATATGTGTATTTTTTGTGTCTTAACTGTTGATTCTCTGATCTGTGTTGGTGATTTCAATGGTTTTGTTAAGTCCTCTGTTGTGATTTAGGGCTATACAAGAATAACTGTTGTTGTTCTAATTAATTTAACTCTCTTGGCCTGTTTTTGTTTTTGTTTGTTTGTTAATCTAGGCCATAATCAAAGTAACACAATTTAAAAAGGTTATATAATGTATCCATATATAATATAAATATTTTAATTGGGGGATGGTTTGGACAAGGGAAAAAAGGGTGGTGGTTGTTGTTAAGTTTGTACTGATAAAATGAAATGTATGTTGTTAAAAATACAGACCTGATCCCCATTGCCAGAGTACAATTATATCACGTCATTTAATTGTCTTAAAAATGTTCACACGATCCAGAGCATAAAATAATACAAATCAAACAGCTGTCATTATTCGACTAATAAGATGTATTCTCTAATAAATTGGAAAAGCGTAATTTAAAAATCTCCTGCTCCATGTTTCTGTTATGAGACTGTTCGAGATTTTGTCCACTCAAGTTTAACCATTTAAAAAAATAACAAATCTTGTCAGAACTTCACACACTTAAAACAAAGTGAATTAACAGTAACATCAGCAGCTTTTTACCATCTAAAAAACATTGCCAGGATCAAAAACATAGTGTCTAAGGCAGACCTGGAGATTCTTATCCATGCATTTGTCTCCAGTAGGTTAGACTACTGCAATGGCCTGCTCACAGGTCTGTCCAAACAGGCTGTAAAACAGCTGCAGTACATTCAAAATGCAGCAGCTCGAGTCCTGACTAGAACCAGGAAGTACGACCATATTAGTCCAGTCCTCAGGTCTCTGCACTGGCTTCCTGTGGCTCAGAGAATAGACTTTAAAACAGCTCTGCTTGTGTACAAGTCTCCCCATGGCCTCGCACCAAAATATATTAGTGACATGTTAGTACCATATGAACCAGCCCGGACTCTGAGGAGCACAGGGACTGGACTCCTGTTAGTGCCCAGAGTCAGAACTAAACATGAGGAGGCTGCTTTTCAGATTTATGCTGCTAAAATCTGGAACAGTCTTCCTGAAGATGTGAGACAGGCCTCCTCTCTGACAATGTTTAAAACCAGGTTAAAGACAGTTCTGTTCAGCTGTGCATAGAACTGAGGGATTTTATATTTTTATCTTTCTTTTTAATGTTCTGTGATTATTTATGATTTTAATGCTTTCTTGTTTTGTTCAGCACTTTGAGTTGCCTTGTGTATGAATTGTGCTATACAAATAAACTTGCCTTGCCTTGCCTTAAACTGGATCAATATTTATATGAGTCATAACAGTTGAAAGTGATTTGTTGTTTGTGATGTAAACGGATCACTTTTATGATAATCAATAAAAAGACACTTGCATGCTCACAATCTGTCCTTCATTTTATTTTTATTTTTTTTAAAGAATTGTTCATTAAGTGAGTTAGTTTGAAACTAAAACTGTTCTTTTGCTTATTTAAATACATCAATAAACAAAATAAAACAATTATACTTGATGCAGACTTATGATTAAACCTCTGCATAAAATCAGGTTTATACAACTTACCCATTGTAGTCTGTCTGACCCCATTATAATGTGTGGACCAGGCCTAAACCAGGTCTGAATAGGACTGAACCAGGCCTAAACTAGGTCTTATCCAGGTCTGAACCGGGACTAAACCAGGTCTAATCCAGGTCTGAACCCGGACTAAATGAGAATCTAAGGTCAGGACAGTGTGGACAAAATGAAGGAAGACAAGTTTTTTAGAGCTCAACTCAAGACAAGAAAAAGTAAGTAGTAGGAAGTCTCACCCAGAGAAACCAGAGAGAAACCAGAGACCAGAGATAAACCAGAGACCAGAGAGATAAACCAGAGAGATACCAGAGAAAAGAACAAAAATAAGCGAGAGACTAGAAGGAGAACAGAGAAAGTGACTCTAAAGCTGGCATGTTCAAACTCATGTGGGCCTCCTCTGCTGCTTTCACAAAGTTGCCATTGAGGCACTTTGTTCAGTGTCATCCAACCAACTTCAGCTTCACCGAAACAGTCACTCTATACCTTGATTTAAATCTCAGACCCTCTGGAATCCAGTCGTTTACTTTATTGTCACAACATTCCAAATAAAATGCAGCTGTGGTGTGATAAATCACTTGTATTTATGTATGTATATGGAAAGTAACTAAGATACCGGAATGAGACACTAGAGAGAGACCACAGAGAGACCACAGAGCGAGACCACAGAGAGACCACAGAGACCAGAGAGAGACCACAGAGAGAGACCACAGAGAGACCACAGAGAGACCGCAGAGAGACCACAGAGAGATCTGAGAGAGAGACCACAGAGAGACCGCAGAGAGACCACAGAGAGAGACCACAGAGAGATCAGAGAAAGACCACAGAGAGAGACCATAGAGAGACCATAGAGGGACCACAGAGAGAGATCATAGAGAGACCACAGAGCGAGACCACAGAGAGACCACAGAGACCAGAGAGAGACCACAGAGAGAGACCACAGAGAGACCACAGAGAGACCGCAGAGAGACCACAGAGAGATCTGAGAGAGAGACCACAGAGAGACCGCAGAGAGACCACAGAGAGAGACCACAGAGAGATCAGAGAAAGACCACAGAGAGAGACCATAGAGAGACCATAGAGGGACCACAGAGAGAGACCACAGAGAGACCACAGAGAGAGATCATAGAGAGAGACCACAGAGAGAGACCGAAAAATTATCAGAAGACTGATTACAGTAATGGTCATTGATTTGCGTTGCCTTTGCTTAAAATAAACCAAAAACATTAGAAAAATGTTTTACTGGATGCAGACTATTAATCAAAGTTACATCGGATTTAAATCAGATGTTGATTGCATTTTGAGGCCAGAACCAGGTCTAAACAAATGTATCTGTGCACCTGGCACAGACCTGGTACATACCTGGTACAGACCTGGTACAGACTTGTTACAGATCTGGTACAGACCTGGTTTAGACCTGGTTTCGACCCAGTGGCGGAGCCAGACTTTTAAACAGAGGGTGGCCAGGGGGTGGCAAGGGTTTTTTTGAGGGGTCCACATTTATACTATTCAGAAATTTTATTTCGCACAAAAACTGGCTAAACGATACATTTTAATCTTAATCTTGTCATTATTTTTAATATAAAGTGAACTGAGAGCACACTTGGAAACTACAAAGCAAAAAAGTGTGTTTAAATAGTAGTCTGAACAAAAAAGTGCAAAATAACATCATTCAAACATTGCATTACATTTTTCTTTTAACAAATTTAGCAAATTCCTACGGTTCTGGTGTAAAGCAGCAAAGATGTTGACAAACTC